TTTATAATTGGACAAACTGTATTATGTTGCAAAGCTCATTATTTGTCCTTTAACATACTAATCCCTTTATTTTCTAAGATAACGGATCATTTTTAATTTCTTCAATTAAATTTTTTCATGCTCGAATGTTTGACCTTATATATTTTTATCTGGTATATATGTTTTGGCTTTCAGTATGCGCATAGGGCTTGCGTTCAGAAATGGTGTGATGAAAAAAAGAATATCACTTGTGAGATATGCAACAAGGTATATGTTGTAGTGTCTCTCTAGATACACTCAGTTAAGCTTGAATTTTTCAGTAGAAACATATACCCACCCACGTTAATTTATAGCTAGTTGGTTCACATCATGATTTTTTTTTTTTATTTCAGTGTTTTCTATCACAAAATTTTAAATTTTTATATCTAAACTTGTTGAACATAGGGACCAAACGGATTTTTAAGTTGCTCCGTCAGTAAAAAGGCTATCTAGCTAAACCAACATCCAGTGTACATTTCATGATTTCATTACTAATTCACTACCATAATGATTTCTAATCTTGCTATTTCTTTCATATATATATATGTATGTATATATATATATAATATGTAGCCTTTTGCTCCTGACTATGTCGTGACGCCACCAGCTCCTTCGCTGCCCCAAGGCACTCAACCGGAACATAGGATCTCCATGAGTAGTACCAGGCAAAGTCTAATAACCTCTCTTTCAGTTGTAAAAATATACTTGCATAATTTTGCATATGTTTGATCTTTAATTTCTTATGCGTGTTTTGAGCCTCGTTCGCTTCGCGGATTCAAGTTTAGATGTGACATTTTTTAAGAGTTTTTAACTGTAGTAAAAAAAGTTAAATGTGACATTTTTTTAGAGCTTTTAACTGTAAAAACTTAGAACTGAAAACTCGAATCGGAGAAATGAACAAAACATTGATATATATGGTGTTAATTGTTTGTGTTGCAGTGCTGTCAATTGGGATGTTCCTGGAGGTGGAGCTAGGGGAATGGTGCCTATGCCTCCGAGGAATGAAGCAAGAGAGGCACTCCTCGTTATTGATGATTCTAACGATGAAGAAGGCCGGGCTAAGGCAGCATGCGGCAAGGGAACTATCATCGTAAGTCGTGTACAATATAATTAACACAATAACGCACAATATCTATTTGTCCCGACTAGCTCGTTTCATAATCTTGTCAACATTAAAATCTGAATGATATTCACTCTCTAATAAGTAAGCCGTTTTTAAGGTTGGTTAGATCTAATATCATGATTAGAATTATGACTCGGAATACATTTGGTTCATCTTATATATCAAAACATTTTGGAATAAAAATTTTTTTCTTTTTTTTAAATTTTTAATATTTCAAATTTAGTAAATACAGATATCCTCTTTCTCTATTCTAAATCATCGCTCTACTTTTTCTTTTTTTTTTGGCGTGCTCTTTAATTACCAAGCAATTAGACTACTTGTAATTGTAACCCTCATGCTTTATTCTGACACTCATTTTTTTATTTTTTATCATAGTATCAATTATTCTTGTACCACGGCTGTTAGTTAGTTTTTTTAAAGTTTTTGATTATCTTGATATATCGGGATTTCTCAGCTTGTCTTTAAAAGGCAGCTTCTCTGATAGCAGTAGAAAAAATAAATCACCAGTAGTTCTTTATTTTCAGCTATTAGTCTGTATCATAAATTGTTTGTTCTGCATACTTGTTCAATATAACGTGATTTTGATTTAATTTAACGGTTAAAAACTGACACTGCCAATAGAACTAGTCTACCAGAGAAACTCCCTCTTTAAAATCAAATAATATTTATTGTTTGAAATGACTCTTTCGTGCACTCGCCCAAAGGACAAAATTGCTTCAATTCGCATTCTGATAGAATTTTTTCTGAGCGCGTGCAATATTAACATTACATAGATTTTACCTAGCTAATTGATGATATATCAAATGAAACCTCTACTTATAAGATTAGTAATGCTGCTAAACTATCATTAATTTGCTGATCATGTTCACTTGTCTTGTAGTGCTGTGGAATATATATCGTTCTGCTGGGTCTCGAACTTGCTGGATTAATGTACTTCAACTCCAAAATGGAACCTAGGCCATTAACAAATCCCGTTTGGTAAGTGCCCTGGTGAAATCATATTATTATATAGGGTCCGTTTAGTTCGCTAATTTGAGTTTTTAGTTCGAGTTGAGATGTAATTTTATGTGAGAGTTTTTTACTGTAGTAAAAAAATTAGATGTGACTGTTTCTGAGAGTTTTTTTACTGAAGCAAAACTCAAATTCTAAACTCAAATCGGTGAAATAAACGGAATCATAATGGTTTTGTTTTCTTCTCCATGCAACGTTATATTCCTAAGTATGAATTTTTTTTTTTTTTTTTTTTGGTTCTTCTATGTATTCTTTCTTACTTCATACAATTCTATTGAAAGTTGACAGCTTCATGTGTTCCTGAAAGAAAGGAAGGGCGTCCACTACTTGATGAAGGGAGGAGAGACTGGTCTTTTCACTCTGCCAATAAGAAGCAAATCACAACGAGGAAGCAGAACACAAGGAGATATCGGACAGAAGAATATGTGGACGCTAGAAACTTTTGTCGTTTCCTTGATTATATCCTTTTTTTTATATTATTATTATTTTTTAAGTAAACTTATGCAGTACTTTGTATTTCGTTGTCGTTTGGAAGCTTGAGACTATTTCGGTTTTTAATTAAAAGCGTTGGAGTTGTAATTTTTGTTATGATATGAACGTTTTTTGACATAGTATTATGATTTGATCCGTGTGGTATTATCGGTAATATCTGCATAAATCTTAAACAATAATGTTCGGTATACTAACTTTTTAATATGAATTTACTTGGTAAGTTATTTGTCATTCTTTTTGTTTAGTATAAGAGTTTGTAAAAATTATCATACGACAACTTACTTATCACTGATATTAAAGAGTTGGAAGTTAGCAAAATAATTACTACACCTAGCTAGTGTTACTCTGTCCAAAATCATGCTTTTATAATGAGTTTTGTTTGTCACACTGCGGTGGGAAAAATTAGAGAAACCCATTTTTAAAGAGTTATTATGGAATACTTAAATGGAAATACGTGAGATTATAAATGAAAGTGCCAAGAGTGATTAATTCCACTTTAAACACTTCAAAAAAAAAGTGTTAGACCTAATGTACAATTATTCTCGTTGAATTTCACATCTATGCTCCATAGCCAATCAGTCGGGCATAGGCCCACAAATTCAAGAGGGCCGTAATTGGCCTTATGAGGCCCACTAAAGGATACATTACATCAAATTATATGAAATAGATATATGCCACAGGAGTGACCTTGTGGCTTTTGCCTCCTACCCAGCCCCGGTCATTTGATCGATTTGAATTTAGAATTTGAATTTTATTACTGTAAAAAATTTTCAAAAATATTTACATCTAATTTTTTTATTACAGTAAAAAAACTCTCATATAAAATCACATCTCAACTTAAATTAAAAATTCGAATCAGTAAAGAAAACACGTACATTTTTTAAGATTGTATTTATCTTCTTTAACACCATTTATTGGATAAAATAAAAATGGATGGATTCCAAAACTGGCCCAACCAAAAGGAGCGGGCCTTATGCATCAATCTACTTCACTTTTCAGGGCCCCATTTGCAATGTGGATTGAAAATTCACATCGGCATGCAAATGCAAATGCTAATGCTAAGAACCTTTTTATCATCAAGAGAGAGGACCCCACTGCCCACATTGATGAAGATGAAGAGAAACACGTTCACCTGATTGCATGATTAGAATTAGACAGCGGTCGATTCCATGGGTTTTCTTTCTTTTCTTTCATTCTTTTCCTACCTTTTTCGTGGAAAATTGCTGGTTATAAGTTACAGGTGTTCATTCTTTAATGTCCAATCTTAGAATTGAGGCATAAGGAGCCCCATTAAAATGACAAGTAGAGTGTGCTCAAACTTCGAAAAAGCTTCTCATGTCAAAACATGAAAAGGAGTGAAGTTGTAAAGCACAATATCAGACTCCACAAATCCCTCCACCGCCGAGCTAAACCAACCAGACAATAGGTCCCCACCAAGCCCCCAGGGCGCTGAAAAGCGCTACTCAAAACATATAAAGGCTAATCTAATCTATAATTGGTTCGAGTGCTTAGCATGTGAGCGCCAGATCTTTGTTTTGTATTTTTGAAGGGAATTTTTCTGTAGGGTCAATATCAGATCTAATCAAAATTAGGTAAGATTTAAAAATTATGTAAAATAAGATATCATTCATTTCATTATTCGAGTTTTTAATTTTAAATTTTTACAGTTAAAAATTCTCAAAAAAAAATATTATATCTAATTTTTTCTGTTATAATTAAAATTTTTTAAAAAATGTTACATCTCAATTCAAATTAAAAACTCAAATTCGCTTGGCCTAAATAATTTCTACTACAAATGTTCAAAAAAAGACTTTTTTTATAATTCAATTTTTATAACTTAAACTTTAAAAATAATTATTACCGTTACACTTTTCTTATCTTCTAAATCCTTCTTTTGTGCTGCCCATCTTAACTCTAGAGCTATAATTACTAATTTTTATAATTGATTGCTTCTCGAAGCCATACTGGCTTTCGTCTTATAGTTTGCTTATAATACAGTTTTATTTTATTTTAAGTATTTAAAAACAGTACAAACTTATAATTGCTGACTCTGCCCTCCATTACTAATAAAGTTTGGAAAACACTCATTAAGTATGTCGTTTTGATTTCATTTTATGTCCGCTCTGATTACCCGTAAGTAATAAGTAATAGTGTTAGATTTATAGTCTCGTTCATTTCACTGATTTAAATTTTTAATTTTAAATTTTTACAGTAAAAAACTATCAAAAAATATCACATATAACTTTTTTTACTACGGTAAAAAACTCTAAAAAAATATCACATCTTAACGTGAAATGTGAAGTGAACGAGACCTGAATTCACAATCCAAATAAGTGAGAGAAAGATAGAAATGTACTAGTAGAAAGAGCTTGGATGCCCATTAGTAGTAAAAGCCATTAATTTCATGGATTACAATATAGATTAATTAGCCACTCTCATTTAGGAGGAAATCCTAAAGGAGTGACTTCTTAAGGTGTGACAAAACACTTCTTCCGAGCCCTTTTTGAAGAGGCCAAATTAAGGAACAAAAAACTCAAGCCAGGGATAATACATAGATATAGTAGTAGTCAGCAGTATTAACCGCATCTCACTAATAGTACGCTTTAATATTTAGAGACAACAGACTGATTTAGGAAGTAAGACAAAAGGAAAAGGAACACAAAAAAGGGAAAATGGGATTTGATTTGGTAAGCTCAAGGGCATTTTGGTCCTCCTTCCTTGGTCTTCCAGTTGTTGTAGCAAGGGCACACGGCCTTATTACCATAATACCCCGGGGGCACGCAGAGGCATTTCTTGCAGCACTTCTGGCAGAAGAACATGCAAGGCTTGTGGTACTGGGTCTTGCTGCACCTCCTTGTGCATTGAGATGGGCATTCTGGTCATTTCAGTCACATCAATAAAGATACAACAAAAACAACATCAGAATCTCGCCGTGTTGAAATCATCAAAAAACCATTTTTTGCTTTTTCTAGTGGTTGGTCAAAGCCTTGAGCTTTTCAATGAACTTTGACTGACCTCAGTCAAACCCATCTTAGATAAGTAAACAGAAAATTCCTTTACTTTTGGCTTTAGCAAGTTTTACCGCGAACAATATCATAGACCACGATTACCATCCACACAAATTACCATTTTGTTTATGTATTTAAAATTATAATTTAAATTTATTTTTATTTTATATGTATTTTTTATAAAAAAAAATATTATAAAAAAATTATGAATCATGATTCAGAATAATAATTCATAATAAAAAATAAATACAGAAAATAAACGTATCCCGCAATCCCGCAGACGAATTATGTTTTATGTAGCTTAACAGTAGTTGTGTCTTAAACAATTTTTTTAATTAATTATGATATGCTACTTGATTAATAAGAGGCCCACTCGCGGTAATTGCGGCAGTAAACACGTGTGAATTCCTTTTCTTTTGGCTTTAGCAAGTTTTACCGCGAACAATATCATAGACCACGATTACCATCCACACAAATTACCATTTTGTTCATATATTTAAAATTATAATTTAAATTTATTTTTATTTTATGTATATTTTTTATAAAAAAAAAAATATTATAAAAAAATTATGAATCATGATTCAGAATAATAATTTATAATAAAAAATAAATACAGAAAACAAACGTATCCCGCAATCCCGCAGACGAATTATGTTTTATGTAGCTTAACAGTAGTTGAGTCTTAAACAATTTTTTTAATTAATTATGATATGCTACTTGATTAATAAGAGGCCCACTCGCGGTAATTGCGGCAGTAAACACGTGTGATATTGTGGACCCAGAGGCATCTTAAAATGCTTTTTACACTGTTTTGAGCCGGTTTAATTTGAGTTAAAATATAACTGAATGTAATAATATTTTATTATAATAAAATAATTCGATGCGTCTGATTTTAATAATTTTTTACTATAATAAAATTTAAATGGGTGAAATAAACGTGTCTTTAATTCTCGGTTAAATTTCATAAATAAAAAATTAGGAAAAAAATGTCAAAGAAAATTGAGTTAGAAGGAAAAAAAAAAAAAAAGGAGGAAAATCCTTACGGAAGCTCTTGAGACTCCCTTCTCCATAGTTTCCCTGAAATCAAAAGATCGGCTGAGTTATAAAATGAAATATGAATGTGGTACTAAAACTACATCTTTAACTTTCATTTACCAAAAATTTCACTCTGTCTTAGCCTCAACGAGAGAGAGAGAGAGAGAGAGAGAGATCTTACTCTGTTGTTGTTGTGATGACCTCCACGCCCGTGAGATGCCATGACCTGTTAAAATCATAGACAATGACATGTAAAAACGTCAAAAATCATAGAGCACTAGACAATGTACAACATATCTTTTATCTCAAACTATGTTATTTTCTCTACATAAAGAAAAAAAAAGTGAGATCAGATGATGAAGAAGAAGAAATTTTTTATTTTTTTTTTACCGTGGTTTGGAGCATGGAAATGGCGATGAGTGCCAAGATCATGAAAGCAAAAAACTTGGCCATGGCCATTTGCTACACAACAGCAACCCCTCCCACCACAAGTACAAAACTGAAAAACTCAGAGGCACAAGGAAAGATGAAAAGGGTGAGAGAGATGAGAGGGGTTTGATCCAGATTTGGAGTGTTGGGTATATATAAATGGGAAAAACATCTCTTTTTTTTTTTTTTTTTTTTTTTTTGGGCTTTGGAATTGGGACACTTTGTTGGAATTTTTAGGTGCATTTACTCATATGGAATGTAGTGTGTGCTTGTTTAGTGGGAAAGTGACACGTGTCCCGGCACATACCCGTTTAGTTCATGGATTAGAACCATGAGAATAGAATTATTTTCGATTTACGTATATTTTTTGTGAGAAAAAAATACTGTAGCGAACTATGAACCATGATTCAAATCAGAGAACGAATCATCCAACCAAACGGGCTGTAACAATTGGACAATGAATGCGAGCTGATCATCTTTCTTTTCTTTTCTTTTTTTTTTCTTTAAAAAAAATGATGTTAACTATATCCTATAGAAAAAGAGTTTAAATTTATTGTCTAATTTTCATATCATGTTGTTTGTCCTACTAATTTAATTTTGATACCTCATTAATTACTTAAGCATTTTAAATATTTATTTTTTTATTAATGTTGTAAAATTGTTAAATTTATGTGACATTGCAATAACATTCACTAAAATAATAATAGAAACAATAGATCTAAACTTTGGTGTGTTTAGTAAGGGGATTCGTACCCTCATTCGAATCATAGTTTATGGTTCGCTACAGTATTTTTTTTCACAAAAAATACATGTAAATAAAAAATAATTATAATCTTATGATCCTAATCCATGAACTCTTTAGGGTGTTTGATATGAAAATTCAACTCGTGTCGTTTTTTTTCACAAAAAATACATGTAAATAAAAAATAATTATAATCTTATGATTCTAATCCATGAACTCTTTAGGGTGTTTGATATGAAAATTCAACTCGTGTCATGATTCGTGACTCGCTACAATATTTTTTTCATAAAAAAATACACATAAATTAAAAATAATTCTAAATTATAATTTTAAATTCTTAAACTAACTAAACTATTGGTTCATGGATTAGAATCATGAGATTAGAACTATTTTCGATTTACGTATATTTTTTATGAGAGAAAATATTATAACGAATCATAAACTATAATTCAAATCGAGATACGAATTCTCCAACTAAACAACCCCGATACACTTTATGTTTTCCAAATCTTATCACATAATTTTCTTCCCATGATTTGAGATTTCTTCTTAGACAAGGACTTCTGGCTGAGCCGACAGGAATTGCTCATGGCTCTGTAACCCAACTGGATAAAATTATTCTCGCTTTTTTATTTTTATTTTTACTTTTTTAATTTTGGCAATTCCCACCTCCTTGTTTATTGGCCAAGACAAAATAATTTGTTCCTCTCGGTATTTGCCAAAACCAATTCTAGGGAAAAGAAGGACAAGATGACTGATGTGATGAAAACCATTATTTATTGCATTTTTCTTTGTTAAAGAAACAGTTTCGTGAGATTCATAACCTTGGTACAAAATCAAATATATTTGACAAGATCCAAACTTTGTAGGTAAATTTTGGAGGAATTAAAATTTGATCTTGATGATTAGATCTAAATCTGTGTACGAGTGCAGAGATCTCGTGCTTCAATTATTATTTCTACCAAAAAAAGTACTTCAATTATTAAACCAAAGGAAAAAAATTTCAATTATAACACACACGGATTTAAATAATCCAAAGTTTTAGTTGTGATGCAATAAATCCTATCTATCTACAATCTACCAAACCTAGAATTACCATAAATCACTACAAAGAAAAAATCGTCAAAACTTAGGACTTCCTCATGTTGTCACATTATGTAGCTAAGGCCACCCAACATTCAAAAAATTATGATGAAAACCCACCCAAAATTCAAAAATTATGATGAAAAACCAATCTTTCTTATGATTTCAATTTTTCAAATTCATGGGTTAAGATATTTTTTCTAAAAAAGTTTATGAATATCAAGAATTTTAGAACGTTTGATTCATAAATTTAAAATTATTCTCATTTTATATGTATTTTTTATGAAAAAAATTATAAATTATGATTTAAATTAGAGATAAATATAAAAAATGAACGTAAAAAAAAAAATGCCTGTAACCCACTTTCCATTATTTGCTTTGGATAGAAATAGAGCTGACGGAACCCTCTTAATGATACTTTCACGTTTATCAATTATAGCTCCTGCATTTTTATCTAAAAATATGTATAAATAAATAAATGGCGCCGGTAATTATGCGGAAAAGACAGAACCCTGAAGTGTAACTTCTTCGGTGGACTGACTCTAATTAAGGAGTGCAGCAAAAAGAAAAAGAAAAAAGTCTCCTTCATTTTATTTAATCAATTTAAATTTAAAATTTAAATTTTATTATAATAAAAAATTCTTAAAAATAATTATATTTAATTTTTTTATTATAATAAAATTTTTTTACATAAAATTATATTTTAATTTAAATTAAAAATTCAAATCAGACTCTAATAATTACGAGCTCAAAGGGTAAGCTATGCTTTGAAAAAGGAAAATAAAAGTGACCCACTAGCCAATTTCAGAAAAATGTCTTGGTTGCAGAATAAAGCATGTTAAAATTGGCCACTTGGCTACAAATGTTGGAGAGTTTTGGTATAAAAGTTTCATTTAATTTATGTCACAAATTTTGTTTTTTTTTTTTTGTTATCTATAGTCCTGTCAATAGAATTATTCTATCATATAACTTATAAAAATGAAAAATGTAATAGATATTTGTTTAATTTAAGTTTCTAATACAATGCTAATAAGGTGCATTTTTTTATTATGCTACTAAAAAACTCTTGAATATATGTAATTGTGTGTGAAAAAATTGTCATTAATGCAATTTCAATTGCGGTCGTCATATTAATATATTATGTTCTTTCTAACAAGTTTTTTTTATATGGTACAACCTCTAATTAATAATGCATATTTTTAATCCTTAAATATGATTAAAATCGCATTAAAATAAAAAAATCACGATAATAAATCTCATCAATAGTTAATTTTCCTGATTTTACCGTAAAAAACTCCTTTTTAGTAGAGTATTCTTTTTTTTCATGATTTTTTCCGTTCTGTTTTTTCTGGTTAAGGGAGAGACGGTGCATTGAAGGAAGAGAGAGAGAGTGGAGTTAGTTAAGTGGTTAAAAAAAGGGGTCCCACACCGACAGAGAAGTCAATGAAACGAAAATCACTACTTGTCGAGGCAGATATTAAAAATTAATTTTGTTGTTTTTTATTTTATTTTTTAAAAAGGAGAGAGAAAGTGGGTTTGAAAAAAGTAACAAGTGTAATGGTGTGGTCTGAGCAGAACCACGTGACCAAAAAGGCGCGCTGTAAACTTCCATCCTTTCACATTCCCCGCCAAATCTATCTCCTCTAAAATTTCCTCAGTAAATGCTCTTTGGATTCGGATTTTTTATTGTCCATTTTTTCCCTTCACCGACACATGTCTGTCTACAGATTACTCTTCCCTATACATATATTTTTCTTACCTTTTAGATGTAAATTGTCATTAATATTTGTACTTTCTATTGAATAGAATTTTCGTAAACTAGTTTAATGCACGATTTTTTTTAATATTAAAATAGCATCTTCATTCTATATAGTCCACGAGAGATAATGAAATAGAAGTACAACCAATTCTGAATGCCGTAAATAGTAATCAATAAATCACTGCATTCTATTAAGAAGCACGGCCAACTCCCAGCATTTGGTGTGGTTCTCGGGGAGTTTTGCCACTCGTTTTACAAGGAGGCCAGTACTCACAAAGTGTACATTTGGGTCGTCCGGACCCAACGGGCTTAGTGGTGAACTGGGTTATATCGCTTTCTTTTTAAAAAAAATTCAAGTTTAAACCGTTTTTTTTAACTCTATTACTTATATCACTACATAAAATTTTAAAGTTATTATAGAAAATAACTTGAAGGTTTCAAAAAAATGAATGTACAAATTATTAGTGACATAAATAAAATAATATTATTTTATTGATGACATTTTTAAATATTCTTCTATTCAGGACATAGGGTTGGTTCAGGCTCAATAAAAAAGGATTGGGATTTGATTACCCGTTTGCCCGACTCAAATTAACATATCTAGTTCTTATCACATATGATAAGTGCATTATGAGTCCGTTTAGTTCGTTGACTCGGATTTTTAATTCGAGTTAAAATATGACTTTATGTGAAAGCTTTTTACTGTAACAAAAAAGTTAGATGTGACTGTTTCTGAGAGTTTTTTTACTGTAATAAAACTCAAATCGGTGAAATAAACGGAACTTATATGTATCATACGGGAGCCTCCCCCTTTTCCAATCTAAAGGTGGTGGTGCGCTATTTGTTACTTCTTGTGCTAGAGCACGAACACAATATTATAAGTAACATAATTGGACAGAGTATCTTCATCTTTGTTTCACTAAATATACTTACCTATTTGCAAAAGATTTAATTAATCCTTGGAAACTAACGGTGCTTATAAAATAGCCGATCGACTTGCGGAATTAGTGGGGTAAAAGAGTTACGTTTTTTTTTTTTTTTTTTATTAAAAATCAAAGAGTATAAAAATTTTCTTTCCTCCCACGTGAAAGAACATTAATTATACATGTGGCCGGTTCATGTCAAACGAGTCACAGGAAGACAAGATGTGGAAAGCACATCAAGATTCAATATAAATATTTCACAACTTGGAAGAAGTATATAATATGATTGGGAGCTATATATACACACCCAATAAGACCAAGCTTAGTTAGTAATAGTGTACCTCAGGATCGTGTTAGTACGTTAGAATTATGAGAGAGAGAGAGAGAGAGAGCGAGAGAGAGAGCATATAGTGCATGTGCCTCGCGTGAACTGTGTCACATGCAAAATATATGCATTAATATTGTTTGCTTTTGGATTATATTGAAGTTCATTATTTTCATGGAGGAATTTCGAGCTTGTTATTTTGATGTTTTTGAGTTAGGTAATTTGAGTGTAGATTTTAAGTTGAGTTTGAGTTATAACTTGAGTTAAAGTTGTAATTTGAGTTTGTGTTTGGTTGTGTACATTTGAGTTA